TGATTGCCACCTCTGAGAGGGGCTTGGCTGATGGCAACTAGAAGGGCCTTCTCAGTGGTGGCCCCCAGTTTTGGAACGTGCTCCCCACTGAGGCCCACCTAGCACCAACCTTACTATCTTTTCAGTACCAGGTAAAGACTGTCCTCTACTACAGGAGATTTAATTATTTACTGAGTCCTTCTGGTATTAGATACGGTCTAACTGTCTCTTTTAAAACTTCTTTTAAAGTTGCTTTTACATTTTGTACTGTCAACTTTTTACAATGTTTAATATTTTTTAATTCTGTATTTTATATTGTTTTTTTAATATGTTGTTGTGAACTGCACAGAGAGCTTCAGATGTTGGGCAGTATAGAAATTAATGAAATGAATAAATAAATAAAGTTCAGAGCCTGCCTAGCTTGTACTTGGATGAGCCCCTTATCTTTTAGTCTCACTAGCAATAAATATTTTGTGATTGGCCCTCGTCATCATAAAAATATTTTAACATGAATAAAAGTGGTGGGCTGGAACGCTTTTAATAAATACATAAAAATAAGCAAATAGACATCTCCCATGAATTACTGACTCACCAGATCTGTTGAAACAAAGTCAAGGGTAGACTTGCTCCCTCTCTTCAACACCCCCCCATTCTAGCAAAGTTGCAACACTGCTAGCAAGCATAGCTTTCGGCCTCCAAACACGTCTTGGGCAGGTGCTAACCACAGGGCAGCTGAGGAATATGGGAGCTGGTTACATCTGACTGGGGAAGAAGGGAAAAATTGGTGCCTGGTGGCTGCTTGTCGCAACCAGTGGGTCCCTGCTAAAGTTGCCTCGGTAGAAATAGCTTTCAGAAGAAGGCTTAGTGTGCAGGAGGGCAAAGGGAATGAAGGAGATTCCCTTTTCTCCCTCTGTCTTAGGTTCTTTGCCTCTTTACTTGGGAGTTCCTTTCTAGAAACACCTAAGGGTCCAAATACGTGTCTTCAGAGGGAGGAACCTGTTTCTTGCAGCCTTTCACAGGGGTGTTGCACTTCCTATCCCATCAGGAGCAGGCAGCATGGCCGATGGCCAGGAATACTAGGAGACGAAATCCAAAATGTCTGGCGGGCACTGCACAATCTATGCATCAAACATGCTCAAGTAGGAAATATCACACAACTACATGGAAACAGCTTGCTGGTTTGGCTTGTGCACCCTTGGTGTCACACTGGTTTATCTATAATAAGTGTAATGATACTGATGTTTCCTTGTTTGAACCAACAGATTGGAACCACCACTGACACTGTGAGGCATAACATGGGTGGGAGCAACCAGTTCTGTAGGCCAAACTGAAAAAGCAGAACCAGCTGGTTTGGATGCAATCTCTTTGAGTCAGATCACTGCACATATCTCCAGTGAGGGCTCCAAGTGAGGTCAAGTAAAGTGCAAAGCTTTCCTTACTGTGTTGCTTTTCTCCTGCAAAGTAAAGAAGCACCAGGTCAAGAACACGCTCCAGGGAGTCTGGTGTTAACCTCTGCCCCCAGCAGGTCAAGATGTGAGTTAACCTAATTCAGTGCATTTGTCATGGAGGCTTCATAATGAATGCTACTGCTTTAACCCTTGTTGTGCCTAACAGTGCAAAGACGCAAAGATTGCTCTGATCTTGGCTCAGCCACAGAGACTGAGCCTGTACTTAACTGGTGAGACAGACTGGCAGGTCTCCGAGGTCTGGTCCTGAAGACAAGCTATGATTTAGCTGATCACAGGACAGGATGCTGGCAGTGCAAAACCAAAATAAAATCAAGTGCAGTAGTAGAGCATCTGGTGCCTTCCAGATATTTTAGAGCACAATGCCATAATCCACAACCAACGGCTGTGCTGCTTAGGGTTAGGCCTTATGGGAGCTATTGCCCAAGACAACTAAAGGGTACCTGGTAGGCCTGATTAGGGGTGTGAGGAGAACCCATTTTGTGGGCAGGAATCTACTGGATACCTGGGCTTAGCTCCCTGGACTCTGGTCCACTTTGTCATGGCTTTGAGGCCAAGTTCCTGGTGAGCAAGCCTGGAATCGAGTCCACATGCTGTGCAAGCAGTGACACTCTTCCACTTCACATGCTTTTTTTGTGCTGCTGCACATGAAGTAGGAGACGAGTTTTTGCGTGGGGCTCCCCAGGAGCCCTGATGTGGAAGAAGAATGCTGGTTGCACAGCCTTCATTCTCCCAGTGTTTGTGGACTTCCTCTTGGCTCAGCTCCGTTTCTAAGGCTGGGCCAAACATGCCAGGAAGTGTGCAGATACTAGAGGGACCAATTACTAGAGGGACGAATTTCACTGAACTTTTTCTAAGCCCTAGTTGTGGCCTAGTGGAAGGGTAGGCACTGCTCCAGGCAGTGCGCAGGGCAGAGTCAAGCAGTGGATGCAGTGCCAGCTCCAAATGTTCAGGGCTCTTGGGCAAGACATCCTAAAAATACCCTCCTTCATCTAGTCTATCTGCTCACTTTCACCATCAGCAGCTGCTCTTAGTCCTCCTCCTCTTTCTAATCTTTGCTGCCCCTTCCTTGCTTGAGAGGTACAGAGCCAAGGCATGAGTAGGCACTGACATCTGCTGTGGTGGAGTGGGGACTCCAGGGGTTCTTACCAATGAGACCCTATGGAAGTATGGATTCTTGGCAGGTGCCCAACGTGCCTTCCATGTGTGCTCAATCTAGTTCCCAGCTGTTTTGCTTCTAGTGGGATTCAGCAATGGCAGCGGGGACAGCTACAGAGATGTGATTTGGGGCTCAGGAGAGGACAGAGAAGAAAGAATCAGCATTCCCTCCCCCACTTTTTTAGCCCTACTGTTATGTAAATCTCTATGCACATTGTTATGCAAGCTGAATTGAGTCATGCTGTGATGGTGACGGTTTTGGCCTTAGGACATGATGGGTTCACACCACACGATAACCCACATTCAAGGGTTGAGTATGGGTTGAATATAAATTACCATCAAAACAAAAATGAGATATCTCATTGTCTGAATTCAACCAAGACAGCACACCATGGCCAACGAACTGCAGTTTGCAACTCAACATAAAAGCATGGATTCTCTTAATGAGTTGTTCTTAACTTTTTAACACAGTTGGACTCAGACAACTACGTTGCAACAATTCATAGCTGCACAACAGTCCATAGTCAGCGCATGTTTAAAAGTCTGAGCGCAACTTATTGTGTTCTCTGAACCTCCAGTCATTTTGTTTCAGTTGTGGCACAACAATGAAACCCCCAGCCTGTTGCACACCTGATCATTGGCTGCCTGGCAAGGTGAAGTTTAGTCATGCAATATAACACCTCTCAGGTACGTCAGCCCTATACTTGATTTCAGGCATGTGGGCAGTTCCAGTGAAGCTTGTATTACAAAGAATATGAAGCAAAGCAAAGAGGATAGTTAATCCTGCAGCTAGATCAAAGAGCAGGAAAGCGGGACTAGAAAAATAAATCAATCAGTGGCCCTAATAATACAAAAGGTTCAGTTTGCCTCTCATCTCATGAAACCAAGGATGACCGATCATTTAAAAACAGTGTAGATAAGACCATTGGAAGATATCCACTGCTCCCTTTTTATGGACTAGAGATGTCTCGTTTTTATTTTAAGCACCCCTGCCTTCAACTCATTGAAGTTTCCTCCTTCAAACACCCTGGATGAATTTGAACATTAGTCCATCCTCCCTCCCTTCCTTCCTTTTTGGGCTTCCTAACAAATAAAATGAACTCCTTAGGAATTACTGACCAAATCAAAATGCAGGCATATTCTAGTGGCCCCAGTTTAGTTAAACTGCTTCTAGGCAGTGGGATTTCCAAATACCTGATGTACTGATCCACAAATGCCTTAAAAGCCACAAGCCATAGAAAGATCACGGACTTTTCTTAAATTAACTTAGCAGCATGGCACCCTGGGAGTAGACTGGGAACAGGTGCTTCAGCAACAGGTGTGAAGCAGCTGCCTCTCCCAAGGTGCTCCAAGGACATAAAGAAAAGAAACAGCTCCTTCCTGCATTAAGCACGGGCCCTTCTAGAACATTGGCAACACTGGTGTGGGATGGAGTGGCTTTAGGGACTCCTGCATGGTCTTGCTCTGCCTATATTAGGAAGCACAAGTTCTCAGTTAGTATAACAAGGCCAGCGCCATGTGTAGGGATAGATGGGCACCTGTCAAGGGCCCACATGCCACTGGGGGCCCACTGGCAAGAACCCCCTGGAGTTGCTCCTCCTCTTCACCACTGTAACCAGCTAGGTCATCTGCTGCTCAGTGTGGCCCAGACATTGGCCATGATGAGTAGGAGCACCAGAAAATGGTTCCCTGCCAGCCAACCAGCTGGTAGTAGCCATGACGAGACAGATACAATGATGTATCAATGTAACCATAAATAAATATAGAGGAAGAGGAGGAATAGCAGCTATTGATCATGGCCATGAGAAAGCAAGCTTACTGACTGAGGGACTGCTCTCTTAAATTTTCTTTACCCCATTCATTTTTTAAACACATCATTCTTTAAAAGTTTGCAATTATGTCTTCCAAACTTTCTTCCAACATTTTTGGTACCTTATGCAGAACATTTGGATGGCCTATGGGCCTGCTTACTGAAAGAGTTATATTGTTAACTTGTTTTATATTGTTAATTTATAGTATTTTAATTGATTTATTTGTGAGCCGCCCTGAGGCTTCGGCGAATGGGGCGGCATATAAATTTTCTAAACAAACAAACAAATAAATAAATAAGAGCCCATGAAGGGGACATGTGCTGACTTCTGGATCAATGGCAGCTACTGAGCAGCTTGGGATTACAGAGTTGCTCCACAGCTTAAGAAGGTTATGTGCCGGAAAATGTGTTGATGCAGTCCACCACTGATTTATGATTACTCAGTGGCGGCTTGGTAGAGCGCCTGTTGCTGTTTTCTCCTACTGGGTGATCCACAGGTGGGCAGTATTTGGCTTGGTGGGTCCCACGTTGTTGTAGGATCATGCATACAAGTGTGAACCCCTTGGACAAAATACCTCCTTCAGGATCTAGTCATTACTTTCCCAACCATCACTAATACTCACATTTAAGTGTCCAAACTGGAACAGTCTTGCGGTGAGTTTGACTACTGTCGACAGGGATGCGCAGAGAATGCCAATGCTTGAGCACAGGTCGAGTAGCTGCAAAGCCAGGTGGTACCATTCATAGTGTGATGGGTCTCTGCATGCAGGGGCAAACTTGCCATAAGGAAAAGGAAGCAGGATGGCATAGCCAAGGTAATTTGTACCTGAAGCCCCAGCAAAAGAGTAGTAGCAGTAAGGGCCGAGAAAGAGCGATGCAAAAGCAATGGTGCCTTGAACTGGGGAGCTGATGATATTTAAGATGTTAAAGGTGAAGCCGGCTTCCCACTGGAATTGAAGCAGAAACCTGTTGTTATTTTCAGCAATAGATGATGCAAAAGTTATTGTCATTTATATGTGACATTTAGGAGGTAATCCTATTGCCCGTGTGGAAGGACCATCGGATTGCACTTTTATTTATTTATATTTTCATTGAAATAATTTTATTTATTTATTTATTTATTTATTTATTTATTTATTTATTTATTTATTTAAAACATTTCTCTGCCGCCCCATTCGCCGAAGCCTTTATTCCACCTTTCTGGATGCACTGCCCTCAAAGGGAATTTTTGCAATATTACCAAAATATGAAACATGGTCATTACAATGAACTAAATAACACCTCAACTTTTGGGCAGTATACAACTGAAATTAATAAATACATACCAGTAACCATGGAAACAGCTAATGATTTTTAAGCATCCCGTGCAAACTTAAATTAATGTCTTGGGATATTTTTAACAGCAGTAATCAGGCCATATGTATCTCATTCGGGAAAGAATTCCAAAGGCATGGGGCCTCCACCAAGGAAGTCCAGACCCTGGTATCCTCCAAGACAATGGCTCTGGATGGTGCACCAGACAGTAAGGTCTCTGATGGTGACTTTAATACTTGTGCAGACTCATTTGGAAGCAGGTAGTCCTTTAGATAATGTGGTCCGAAATCATTCAGGGCTTAGAGGAGGAAATCGGCACCCTGAATTGGGCTGGAAACTGACAGGCAGTCAAAGTTAATGATGCGGAATAGACGTAATGTAATCCAAACAGCCAGCTCCCAGAAGTGTTCTAACTGCAGCATTCTGTAGTTTCAAAATTGCTGCAGTTTCAAAATTGTCTTCAAGGAAATCCCCATGTAGAGTGCATTACTGTAGTCTAACCAGAATGTAACTAAGTTACTGTACATGTCACTGTGGCCAATGTCATTCTGCCCTGCTGAGATGACATATTGTTATGCATTTCCCAGTTCCCTGAGCAGTGAGAGGCTAAAGGAAGCAGTGCTTATCTGGTCTTGCTTTTCTTTGGAAGAAGACTTCCCTGGAAGCGCAGGACATTTTTCTAATATCTGGCTTTATTTACAGCTATACAGTTGAGCAGAGGGAGAAGCAAACTGCACAGCATTTGAACAAGGCTGTAAACCCACTGCCTCATCAGAGAAAGATCAGAAGGCGTTTTCTTTTTGAGGAACGTAGGAGGATATGAACCATATACTGCTGCCTTATAATGAGTTGCACCATTGACCAATCCTGCTTAGTACTTTTTTTCCTCTGATGGGAAAGAGGAACTGGAACAGATTCCTTCCCAGTCAGCTTATAAAAATTCTAATTAAAACCACTTAAACAGCTATATTTATTAATCCAATTAGCCCATGTTGCTCATAAAATCCAGGAAAAATAAAACAGGATAGCACCCCCTCCTAACAACATGCTCACATAGTTTAGCCAGCTCTTTCAAAGGCCCTGTAAGTGGGTCCAGCCAATCAGCCTAGATGTTGATGGGTTGGACCTTTCTATTCAAGGAGTTCTGTAAGGAGCTGGATGGATTTTTGTACACAGAAATTGACAGAGGGAGATTCTGTTGTTCCCACAAGATAGTTCTGAGAATGACCTATGATGAAATTAGTTAGCTCTGAAACAGGTTGGATAACTAATTATGCTCTAGTTGTCCTCCCTCTGACTCATATGGTTGGGGGCCTGTGATAATCAGGGATACAAAGGAATAAGAGAAGAGTGCATCTTTAGGAACAATGTTGATGGCCAAGTTAGCAGGACAATCTTCCACAGAGTTTGGAATTACAGCTGATGTTGGGAGGGAGAAGGTTGGCTCCTTTGGGTGCTCATTTGCAAGGACTGCTGGCTGGGCCTCAGAGGGATCAGAATCGGAATGGGGAGAAATAGGGGGAGTCTGGGAATGTGGGCCATGCTGAGACACCGAGATGAGAGATGAATGTGAGGCCCAGTCAGGTCAGTTGGATACACAACTCTTGCTTTCACATGCAAATGCTGACAAATTCTCTTCACAAGACTTTCGGGCTTGAAGCAATCTCTGAAAATATGAACATTCATCCAGAATATTCATGAACTGGTTTGACACCAACAGGAAGCATAGGAGCACATGGTTCCTTGCAGTGCTGATCAAAGGTTTGGGGATATACTTGGAAAAAAATATTCTCAGGACATCTCCTTGCCTGAGTAGGTCCAATCTTCCTCCTCATTGTGGCTCCTGGCCATTTGCTTGCTCACTCCCTCTGGGTCCAATCCACACTGCTGTTCAGAGGAAGAAGAGGCAAGGAGGGTGGCCACTTAGACATTACTAAAAATGAAGGACAGTATGTCCAAAAAGGAAGAAAATGGCATAAAATTTGCAAATGCTAACTCTTAAGTGCAGATGCATATTTAGGAATAATTATTATAATTCAAATAGAAATGCGATATATCTAACCATGGTGAGGAAGATGGGGACTGAGTGACCTAGGCAGCCATTCCAGCTTCTGTTTAGGCACCGCTAAGTGTTCATGAGGAACTTCAAGGGTCATACTCTCCTTTCTTAGGGCCCTTTCTCTTTAAACTGAACATGGATTACAATCAGATAGAGGACTGTCTTTTGCAATCCTTTCAAATAAAACAAGGGAATCATCCTCTGTAAAACAGGCGTCATGGGAAGAGATGGAGAGTCAGCAGCAGCAAAAGGAAAGAGCTGCCAGTGTTCTGTGGGGTCAGCAGTGGGACCCCTGCTGTTGCGTGGGCCTTGGCAGTTACCCAGTGGTGCCAAGAACCCCTGTATCTAAGCCCTAGAGGGGTAGTGATCTAATGCTCAGGAGGGGTATGGATCAAAGCAGGACAATGCTTCTCAATGCTGCTTTTATTCCCCAACATTATGGGACGGTGCAGGAAAATCTGTATTACATCTGTGAATCTGCTTTTGTGCTGTTGCATGAGCAGAATAACAGACAAGCTTAAATGAGTTTCATTGTGGACAAGAAGCACAATATCCTTTTCAAAATCTAAAATTCTTTGCTTTGGTAGAAAAGGAAATGTAGCCAAACCCAAATGCGAAAAACAAAAACAAACAAACACAAAACCACTGTAAGAATCGTTTTGCAAGGATGGTGTTTCCTATTTATGCATTTTCCATGTATCAAAAAAAGAGCAGAAGATACCTTTTTAAAAGTTCCCCCAGTCTGATGGCTTTCATTGGTTCTAATAACATTCCCTTCTTTCAAGTCAGGAAATATCTCTGGATCCTGCTTGGTCTTGTAAATCTGGTTGAATGTTTTAAATTGTGCCTGCTTTAAGCCCTGTATTCTTTATCTGATCCATAGCTTAAGGCAGGAAAAATGGATGCTTTCTTTCTCTTGAGTCTGTGCCTGGATTAACTCTGCTTGCCTTCTGCCTAGAATATGACAACATATAGAATATCTGCATAAATTTACCAGGTATCTCTGGGTCCATTGTTTTTCAGCCAGAGCAATGAGTACACCTGCAATAACAGCCTGTAGACAGAGGGGAAAGTATACAGTTACATGTCATAAAGTTAGCAATGGTAATAGTCCTTTGTTCTCTTTGGACCATGCTGCAAAGCAGACATCTTGAAAAACACAACACAAGGAAACAAATACACGAACAACAGAAGAGCTTTGTGTTCTAGGCAAATACAGACTCTGGCATAGAATTCTGCCTTGTAGGATTAAAAAACAACCCCTTTCTGCTCCTAGGGCTAGATAGATCCCAAATAAGTTAAACAAGGTGATGTGGACATTGATACCTACGTAGTTATTAGAAACATATTAAATGCTATTAAAGCGTACTGTTCATAGTAAATGAGACGATTCTGCTGACTATGGTGTAATTTTGAAATGCAGCGTGATACAGTGGTTAGAGCACTGGACTGGAGACCTGGGAAATCCAGGTTCTAGTTCCCAATCAGCCATGAAGCTCACTGGGCAGCTCTGGGACAGCCACTTTCTCTGGAAGCAAACATAATGAAACTGGAGATGTTGTACTTCTGGCACATCGTAAGAAGACAAGATTCACTGGAGAAGACAATCACGCTAGGGAAAGCCAAAGGCAGAAGAAGAGGAAGACCAAACAGGAGATGGATTGATTCTGGAAAGGAAGTCAAATGTTTGCCATAAATCAGAGATGAACTGACAGCATGAAAAAACAAGAGAAATGTGTAATTAAATGTCACTATCCCTATCCAGTTCATGGAAGGCTGTCAAATGGAGTTGAGGTGAGGAAACCCATGATGAAATAGCATCATGTCCCCTGGCTCCCTTAGTATACATGACAGGGACTGGAAGAACTAGTTGAGGAAAAGGAGGTGAATTGCTGTTCTTGGCAGCGCTCTTAGCACGTGTCACGACTTACACTGGAAGCTGTTTGTCCTTGTCTAACTTATGCGTGTCAAATGTTAGCCCAGAGCTGCTCTTCCTGAAACTTAAGAAGAGCCGTGTTGGAGTAGACCAAGGCCTTTCATGTCCAGCATTCGGTTCACGTGGTGGCCAACCAGCTGCCTGCAGGAAGCATATCAGTAGGATGAGAGTACAGTAGCGCCCCCAGCTGGTGTTCCCCAGCAACTGTCTACCAAGGCAGAGTGCTCCTCATGTTGGAGGTAATGCGGCTACTAGCCATTGTGGCTACTAGCCATTGATAGCGTCCTCCTTCATGTATTTCTCCAGTCTCCTTTTAAGTCATCCAAACTGTGAGCCATCACTATGTTCGACAGTCTTCCATACTGTCTCCAGAGGCAGAGAGAAGGAGCCCCCACATATTGTATTTGGACTCTTGTTATAGATTTATGGATAGGTTGAAATTTTTTATTTAAATAAAATATGGATAGGCTCTTTGCAGTAATGATATCCCCGTCTTTGGGTTTTTTGTTAAATGTTATCATTTAAATTATGAAGAAAAACAACTGGAACTGTCCTCCGCCTGGCCCAGAAAGTAAAAGAAATCTAACATTAAGCCTTTTCCCTTTATCTACTTTCCAGAAGGTGCTGGATCCCGCTTTCCAAGCCAGTGATGTTATTTCTATGATCGGCAATGGCAGGTGCTGCTGATTAAGTTCACATTTCATTATGAAGAGCTGGAAATGCTATTTCTGAAGCCTGGCCTGCCAAGTATCTCTGTGTTTTTTTCCTCTTTTTCATTCAAATGGATTAAGTCCTAAAGATTTAATGTTGCGCCACTTAAACCACTTACGTGCATCTTCTCTGGCATAAGTGGTCTTGATGATCACAACATATTGTTGAAGACAGAAGACTGAACTCAATCCAGCTGGGCAATTGTTACATTTTTATTATGACTAAATTCCTAAGAGCTGGTGCAGAATTTGTACTGAAAATGTGAGCCAGTACAAATCCTGTCACCACCGTGAATTTACTAAGTGCCGTAAGGATGTCCATTCTGCTTATCCCTCTCTGCTCATGGACAGGAACAAGTAGCGGAGGTGGACAACAGGAAAGCTAGAAGCCCTTTTCACATGGACAGGGGATGTTAGCTTTAGTGGGTGGGAACTCAGGATGGCATCTGCCATCCAAGCTTCTGAATTTGATGAATTCCATAGAAGTGAGAATAGTGCCGACATAGCTCCCTGATACATGCATGCAGCTCTTCCCACAAGATTTTGAGGGAAATTCTAGAGCTATCGGTACAGATTCTGTTCTAGTTCTTATATGCCATCAACTTATCTCTGACTTATAGTGGCCCTATGTATGAAAACCCTCCAGAATGTCCTATCCATGATGGTTCCGCTCAGCTCTTGTCAATTCAAGGTGGCAGCTTCCTTTATCAAGGCCATCCATTTCATACTTGGTCTTCCTCTTCCTTCTACTTTCCCCAGCATGATTGTCTCCTCCAGGGAGCTTTGCCTTCTCAAGATGTGCCCAAAGTATGACAAACTCATGTTTTTTCCCCCATTTTTGCTTCTAGGGAAGGCTCTGACTTGATTTGATCTGGGACCCATTGTTTGTCTTTCTGTTGGTCCAGAGCATGTGCAAAGCTCCCCTCCAGCACTAATGTTATTCCTGTCAGCTTTCTTCACTCTCCAGACACTACGTGAAAACGTTTTTCTATGCGGACCTTTATCTGATGGACTGGCCGATACCACATTGCCAAAAGAGAGGCACAGAACTGCATTGAATTAGAAGATTCTGATTTATATGCATCGAAGATATACATTTAGGAATAATTTCAGTACAAATAGTCCACATCCCATCACCATGGGGAAAGCGGTGGCCAGTGAACTCTGTACCTTCCTACCCAGTCTGTGGTTCAGATGCTAACCATAGTGGTACAATTCCAAGGTGGTTCATTGCCAGTGGTTCACTGCCTTTCAGTTTAAGTCAGTTTCACTTCCATGCCGCCTCAAAGCTTAACCTCTCTGGGAAGTTGACAACAATTCGTGCAATGCAACAAAATACCAAAAGAAGGGGAAATAAAATGTTGATGCAAAATTTAAAGCGGTATTTTTAAACTACTGAACAACTAAAATTAGATTTGGAGTGAGCAACCTCTGTCAAGTAGCACACATAGCTGGCTAAGACAAGGGGAAAAGGGATCAGGCACGGTAGAGGTGACCAGAATGTCTCCATCCACGCATTTAGGATATTATGTATGGTTATTCTGTGAGAAGAGCCTCTGCTGTTGTTTCCATGGGCGGGTGGGAGAGGAGGTCCAAGGGGCCTTTTCATCTTTGTCGGCTGGAGTGGAGCTGTCTTCTTCATTATTTTAATCATGTCTTTATTATTTGCAACCTGTCTAGGTTGCTTGTCAGCACTAAAAATATTGAAATTGCTTCACAGGAATAAACCCAATGATTAACCATTAAAAAAAGGAAAGAAAAAGAAAAGCAGAACGCTTGAACCAAAAAAGTGGAAAATCTTTTTAAGATCATAAAAAGCAGAGGAAAATCAATTAAACCATAGACCACAATTTAAAAAACCACAAACGCTACTGAAAACCTCAGAGAATAAAAGACCTTAACCCTTCAATGGATAACAGTGTTGGTGTGTCTTTCTCTTGCTGGAGGACATTTATAATGGAGGTACCACCACTAAAAAGACCCTTTCTATGATGTCCACATGGCAAGTGTTGGGAACTGTTTGTGCCCATTTTGGGGTTATAAACCATGCTGGGGCCAACCAGGAACCCTTGGAGCCAGACACAACTTGTGGACCATTAGTTACATATTCCTAGTGCAGACAGACCAGAAGTCTTAGGTTTTCATGGCTTGCTGCTTCAACCATTTGCCACATAAAAGTCCCAAATCTCCAAAACTTTGCATTCAGCCTCGGACGGGTTCTGCCCTTCCCTGCCTACCCATTTTTAAGACTTAGATTTTCACATTCATGGCCGTTTTCTGCAACAACAAAATAGGAGTTTGGATAGATTTCTTAGGAGACTAAGCCTGAAATTATAATCTTGGCATCGCCATACCATAAAAAAGTTCCCATGAACAAAAGCAGAAACATCTGGAGTCATGAGTGGCTGTTGGCGAAATTCATCCGGCAAAAAAAAGAAAAGAAAAGAAAAGAAAAGCCTGCCTGCAAAGGATCCGAAAAGAGCTTCTCGCCAGAACAAATAATACAACAAAATAAGAACACTGTGATGAGCTATTGTAGCATGCAAGGAGGGCCAAACTCTTTTGCCGTCCGCATTTCCAACCAACACTCCCTCAATTTACACATGTGGTGGAGGGAACAAAGAGAACCGGAGCTGGGAGGGATCATCTCACCCCTGCTGGGCCAGCTCCAGTCAGATAGCTTCAGCTCTGAGTTGATCAGTTTCCATTCCAACTTTAACTGCTCCAGCAGGGAATCTTTCTGTCGCAAACTCTGCAAAGCTGCAGTTTTGCAGAGAACAATGGTTTTTGTTGTTCTTTTTCTCCATGCCCCCATTTTGTTTTCTTTTCACAATATGAGACTTGCAAAATATTGCAAATGACAGGCCAGCATCTGAAAGTTTGGCAGGCTGTTTCAAAAGAGGATGGAACATCCTGCACGACTGTAATTCTGCACCTTCCGTCTCATCCCACTTTGCCTTCCAATCTCAGCTTCCTCCCTCATTCCTCCAGGTCACGTCTTGTTCCTTCTCTGTCACACACCTGTGTCCTGTTGCCTACAGCCTTCTCACACTGCAGACCCTCATTTCTTCCCCTCCTGCTCCTCCTGTGAGGTATGCTAGGTGAGAGTCAGTGTCCAAAGCCACTCAGGGAGCTTCATGGATGAATGAGGACTAGAACCAGATCTCCCGAATCCTGGTCCAGCACCAAATGCTACACCACAGTGGCTCTCCTGTGCAGCTCTTCATGACCCCTGGCTCTAATTTCTCCTCTCCCAGGAACTCATTAGGTGGCTTGAGGAAACCGTCTGTTCTCTCAGGTTCAGCCCTCCTCTCCGCACCTGCAATATGGGTTTATGTTGTGCTGGGACTCCCCAGGGTCAGCTCCGGCAGCTCTTTCTTATGCCATACTTCAACTCTGGCTGAAGTAAGAACAGAAGGAGGGGTTTCTGGGCAGGTACAGAGTGCAAACCAAGCAGAGCCATGAGAGCATCCCCTAACATCTTTTCAGTTTGCTAAAAGCAGTCCCCCTCTGGCTTGATTTATACCAGAATTCTGGCATATGGGAAAGAAGACCTGTACCTTTTACAGCCTCAGTCGAAATGTGTCCTTCCAGGCTGCCATTAGGCACAGGGGGAATCCATTTAGCAAAAGCAAGGGACCTCTTTGGGATGGGGGGCATAAATGAACCCCCCAGCCCTTCTGAGTGCAAGATGGTGGGACCCACCCAGTCAGGGATATTCTATTCATGGTGAAGCTGAGCCTCCAGCTCATGATCTTCAGTGAAGAAGCATCCTGTACCTCACGCCTTGGCTGCCCTGGGGCTTCCCCCATTTGATGGGCATGGAGTGAGCAAGGCACTTATCTGGGCACTTGTCTTCCCAGTTAGCTGGCCAGTGGTGTGCTAAAAGGCATCCCAGAATCTCCATGATTATCTCCCGTCAGTGTGGGGATTCCTTTAGTGTAGTGTTCCTTGCACCCCAATAGCAGAATCCCTGCTAATTGGAGTGAAAAGGAGAAAGGGCTCCCCAACTAACCTCCTAGGAGTTCGAGGAGAAGTGAGGCTTGGGAAGGAGCCAGACCAAGCCACAAGCTGATGGGAAATTCTGGTGGGTTTCCATCCCCGCCATATTACACAATATGACTGAATCACAGTCTCCCATATTGCATCCTTCTAGTTTGGCCTGAAGTAATTCACTGGGTTTCTGGTCAGTGGAGATGGGTGGGAAGGGCTAAACTGGGAAAGGGGAGGGGGGAATCAGAGCCCCAGTCTTTGTTTTTCAAGCCGTAAGACTATGTAAGATGCTGTAAGACCACAAAAGCCAGAAGCCAATATAGTTTGCAGACTGTATCCAGAGCAGATACGGGCCAATAAGGAGACAGCTCATTAATCTATTGCAACCACACCAACTTTGCATGAATCAAATTGTCAGCTTCACCAATTGTGTATTGTTCCAGGCCGCTAGAAACAAAGATCCTTAGTAAGTTCTCTGGTGAGTTCTTTGGAACTTTGCAGCTCTTCAAGGGAACACGAGATTTATGATCAGAAACATTTTTCTGTTTCCTCCAAGATCCTATCTCCAGCGGAAGGTTGTAGAACTGGATTTTCATGCTACGTGCATCCCACACACACAGACTCCCTAACACGCTTCAGCTCTCATTTCACATGAAGTGAGAAAGTTTTCCTACGTCAGTTTTCCCAAGACATGCGTCATCTGAGGTTCAAATTCCGCACTGCACAGGTGGCTTGTCTAAAAACCCCGAGCAACCTGAAGCAAGCCTGGTTCCAAGCCGAGGAAGGGGATGTGAAAGTGCCAGCACCACCACCGGGCATTCTTGGAGAGCTACCAGGGTTGACTCACCCTGGCAGGGCCCACTGCTGATGTCTTCCCCGGGACCCCTTCAGTTTTTTTCTGGACCAGCACATCAAGCACCACCAGACAGCTGGACGTAGGAACCTTTGAAAATATCCCACAATGTGCTAATGCCATTCTGGGTCTTCCGGAAAATTAAAAGGGCAGCTAAACGCAGCTGCCCAGCACCACTTTGAGCTCTGCAGCTAGAGATGTTTACTGGAGCCCAGTGACTGAGAAGGAAGCCTGACTTTGCACAGGGCTCCCCAAGATCTCACCCTGCTATGAGAGAATAATCTTTCAAACTATTTATCTGGACCATTTTTAAGTTTTTCCCAGGTCTATGACTCTAGTCCTTTCTCATCTCAAAGGAATCATTGCCACATCCCCACCACCACTCCATTTCAGGAAGAAAGATACGTGGTCCCCACAAGGGTGGTATCAAAATGAAGCACGGCCAGGTGCCTTCTGAAGGCCCATGTTCCAATGAGGGCCTTCCTCTTCAGTGGCAACTTTCTTTTTTCCCTTCCTCTCCCTGGTCCAGACAACAGGAGTGCCGAGAAGCAGCAACAGCAGATGCCACGGCCTTCTTGTTCCCTCAGTTTTTGTCTGTCAAGCAAGCAGATCCTAACTACATAACTGCAATGAGAAGGATGGCAAGACACAACAGCAACCAGTGACGATAACGGTGGGATGGTTCTTCACAGGTGGCAAGCACTCTTTCTCACAGCCCTTAAAAACCTGGAGCTGGCTCTGCCATATCTTTATTCCAAAGGTGAAACGTCAGCCTAGCATGGTCGTTCTGAGCTGAGAAACAATGGGAAAAGGAAAAGGTTAAGCAGCCTCTCTCCCCATTTCTTTTCCTGCTGCAGTTACTCTGGGATTGTTTTGTTTGCTTGCTTGAATGTGTGAAGGAAGGAATTAAAACAGGGCTTTCCAAATAACCTGGGTCAATGGACACTTTGGAATCTTGAGATTCTACAGGCTCACTCACAAAATGGCTGCCATGGGGGGCATGACCAGTTACAAAACTCTAACTTTTCAGAAGGTAAACGGGAAAAACTAAAAGAGAAGTTTCATGGCCAAGAATTTAAGCGGAAACCAAAGATGGGATCTGAGCTCCAAAGCACACGATCTTTGGAACCCAGATAGAGGTAGCACTGGCTGGCTGCCCTTCTCTCTACAGTGTGGCATCTTCCCAGTTAAAACAAACTCATTAATCAAGTAACTAATGTTCAGAAGTACAATAAGAGTCAGAAGGATCAGAGAGCCTGGTAGGCACCAAGAGTTATATCCACATTCACAATGTGCTTCTCAGCCCCACATCGGGAACCCTAGCATTAGAACATAGTCTGCATTTTGGCAACAGTTTTCCAATTCTCTGCTCTCTCACGTTGCTCTCTCTGACACAGATATTCTAGGCATCTGTTGTGGATTCTGGGGCACATGCCTCAATGCATGCACATTCAATAATCCAATTAAAGGTAACTTGGACCAAGACAAAATGATACAGAGAAACATAAGAAGATGGCTTCTATGGAGTTAGACCATTAATGTCCATCACGGTTGAGAGACTGGAAGTTTTAAAGCAAAAACAAACAACTCCATACCAGAGAGGTTGGTTTTCTTTGCGCCCCCCGCCCACCGCACACATTTTATCTTAGGTTCAATCTACCACTAAACTGTGTTTCCTTGTTCCTGTAATATATTTAGCAAGAACAGGTTGTATTTGCACAGCCTCTGCATACCCAGGCTTAGAGAAAGAACAGCTAAAGTCCTTGCCGTTCCTAGTCAGACTGAGGCATGGAAACACCTTTCCAAGAAATTAATCATAGTTTGCCCATTTTCCTCCATCTCAGTATCCAAGAAAAGTTGCATTCGAAAAGCACAGAAACAAAACACAGCAGCTTGTATATTGGCCCGTATTTGCATCATCTATCACAAAGATGTGGGAAGATGCATTATGGACCAGACCAATAAATAAAGCAACAGCAGTACCATCCTACCAAAGCTCCACTCCAGATGGGAGCAGCAATGCGAACATTCCATCCGACAAACCAAGGTTTATAGGAAAACACAGGGAAGAAGGCAATAATCCCAGAAATGAGGCTTAGAATCCCCAAGGAAATGAGTATTTTCCCGGTGATCGCAAATAAGTTCCCTGGGTGCATTCTGAGCTTGTCCTGCACTCTCGCTCTCGGCGCGCTTGACTTGTTCTGACGTTAGCAAGAAGGTCTGTTGCCTACCGTGGCACACAGCAGCACCTTGGAGACCGTAGTCACAGTGCTTTCTCCTTGTTTGTCTGCTCAGAGAAAACACACTGTAGTTTAGCAAATTCCCACTGAAATGCAAGATAATGAAAAGGAATCAGCAAGACCTCTTTATATGTTCAAGAAAAATGGCAGTTCATCACACAAGCTTGAGTCTGCTGGAGGAGATCACAATACCCACCCGTCCCTACCAACCCTCACCCAAATTGCCTTCCCCGAAAGCTACAATTAGACTTTGGAAAAGCCTCCCCTGCCACCAATATTTCCTTTGGCGATCTTCGTCAGGTCCAGCTTTAAGTGAGCACAGATGGACTGTGTCCAAGGTGCTTTATTGAAGTCAACATTGTTAGTTTTCAGAGCAGGAAAATCACCGGGTAAGGACTAATCTTGTTTTCAGCAGCGCACCACCTTGAGGAATAGGCTCAAACCTTCGGAATTCACATTACCAAGAGCTGAAAGACATTCCAGATTGAATTCCAGAAGAAATTGTTAATGCAAAGAGAGACTGGGCAGTTTTGGAGGATGTAATTGGACAGCCATCTGAGAGGGACAGTTCAATTTGGTGTCCTGCACTGAGCAGGGGGTTGGATCCTTCCAACTCTGCCATTCTATGATTCGATGATTCTGTGTGTTCAGTCTTGATTTACAAATAATTCTGTTTACTAGTACAGAACTACGACCTTAAAGCAAACTGCTCCTCAGCTCCACAGATGCATTGTTTAAATAACTCTGTTGCCTGTTTTCCCATGAGGAGTGACCACTTCCTGGTGTATGCAAAGTTATTGACTCTGGCTGAGTCGCAGCCATTGTTTCCAATTATGCAGAGCTTAAATGGAATCCCAGCATCCTTTGCATCCAGATCATCCAATAACGTGATACTGACAGAAGAGAAAGAAAATGAAAGCATGGTGTCCACCTGCAAGAACATTAACATCCTGTCTTTATCAGGGTTTCGTCAAGAGAGTCCCAGGACTTTTTTAAAGTCCATGATCTCACACAAAGGGCATTTTCACAGTAGCAGCATCCTCTCAGGCCTCACCCGGATTTTCCATTTGCATGGCTTTTTAGCGCACACGCGCGCGCGCGTGTGTGTGCGTGTGTGTGTGTGTGCACGCGTTTAGAGTGAGGAAACTCAACCATTAAATTCCAAATGCAGACCAAACCTGGATGAAAGCCTTCATGTATTAGTGCAGTTCCGCTAGATTGCAGCTTGTGTTAGAAAGACAGAGCAAAACAAACCCCGGATGGAGGGAATGTCAGAGATGTGCTTTCTGTGAAGAAAACGTAGGAAGACATTCCAGTAAAGGTCTCATGTAAAGAAGCCCTCAGAGGGAATTTTGTTTGCTTCAGTTTTGGGTTCCCTGTCTGATGTCTTGCTCAAGAGATGGAAGTTTTTCTGTTTTGGTCATCATAACATTCCAGTATTCTGTAGAGATGCAAATTAAGAAACAATTCCTATCATTTAGACAAAACTGCAATGCATCTCACTCTTGAACTTTTCTGCACAGGGCTGGCCCCTCCCACTAGACAGAATGGTGCAGTCACCTCGGGCTGCAGGGAGTGGGGAGAGGGCAGCAAAGTGCTACCCATGATTTGCTCTACCAAGCAAACAATTGCAGCCGGCTTGGGAAGACAGCCCCAAACAGAGCATGTTGCCATAGTCCAAAGGTGTAGCCCATGCAGCACAAGTTAAAATCTTATTCCCTTTCAGCTGACCAGGAGCACTTTAGCTTGTCTGGGTTAAGCTTCAGATTGCTTGCTCTCAGCTGGTCCATGACGTGCATCGTCAATTTAGAGCAGCTTCTAAATTGGATTTGGGTGGAAAGATGGAGTTGGGCACCACAATCAAATCCCAAAAGTGCAGTTAGTCTCTCTCTGTGGTTTCATGCATATGTTAAATAGCATGGTGAAAGGACGGAACACCACAGACCAATGGCCAGAGCAGCAAGGAATCCCCCAAAACCACCTTCCGAGGTCCAAAAGGACTGACGCCACCACAGAACCATCCAAACCTTTTCTCCATTCCAGAAATCAGCCAGGGCATTGACAGAATTGAAGCTACCCTGGCCTGGCTTTGCTTCTGTAACACCTGCACGGACACTCAAGGCATTTTAGATTCCTCTCTCTTCCATTAGTGAGCCTGTACAGTAAGCAAACCAGGTGGAAGGCAGTCACTTTTGGTGGCTCCGCTAGGAGCAGATCTCAGGCAAAAGAATGCATGCACCACTCAAGCAGACATGCCAGAGGCTTGGAGTGCATGACCCCTTTAGAAAAGCAGAAAGATCATGTATAGATTGGAAATGTAATTTCATGCCTGCACAGTGGTGGCAGGAGGCAAGAGAGAGAGGAGTCCTTCGCTGAATATGACTTGGCGGTTGCCTCCTAATTCAGTGTGTGCATTTGCAACATGTGCTGGAGAGCTATAATATATCCCTTGGCAATGTGGATTCAATCGCTATTTTAATGCCTTCCTCATGACGAAGGTAGTTAACCTGCAGTGTTTGCCTTCCAAGGACCGAGGCTCAGTGGTGGTAATCCTTCACTGATGGAGCTTGCTTTGCTCTGAGCTATGCCTTGACTTCCACTAGACTTTTTATCACTGGGGGTTCGAGCGACCTGGCACTTCTAAAGACAAACGATAAGTGTCTGGTGTATGGGTGGTTGGGGGCGGGGGGCGGTCAAAATTAGAAACAGTAAGCAGCTTCTTCTCAGGACTGCTTACGGCCAGGAGCTTGCTTGTGTAGAGACTGTGACTAGGTTGAAGCTTCAAAGGCCTCTTCAGGTGCAGAAGGGGCCAGAGATGTGTAATATTTGGATGCCTGCAAAAGAAAACATTAGTGGGACCATTCCAGCAACCCTGCTGAAAGTTCAGAATCTTCTAATTTTTTCCTCTTCCATCCTCATCCTTCTAGTTCATGTGATGTGCCTTATTTGCTTATTGATTGTAAGCCGCTCCAGGAATCTTGTTTCAGATGCAGGGTAGGATCAACAGGCTGTTGTTACCTTTCGGTGGTGTCATTTCTGCCGCAGGCCAGAATGTAATGACCTGGGACAGGGGGAGGACCGTAAAGGCACAATCCTATGCAAGCTGAAACAGAAAAAGGCCTAAAACTCCAGCATGGCCGAGCCAGTATAGCTTCTGAGCTTGATACAGGCTTTATGGCCATAGTGCCCAACTGCGTCCACCCCCAAATAAGTACACCATGGCCTATAAGCTGAAAAAGGGACACCACAGCACAGCAGTTACCAGCCTTTCCTGCCAAATGATTGGTCCTGTCCAAAGGTTCCATTATCCACACACACAAAGTGGCAACTCCAGATCTGGATAGGCAATTCATCTTTGGAAGCCCTTTCTGATCACATTTGATGCTGCAGTCGAATCACATACCCATCCATGGTGAAAAGTAAAAACCATAATGCCGTGATTTTACCCAGATCGGTTAGAAGATCACCAGCTTCATTTTCTAGGAAAGAGTATGGCGTTCCTTCATTATTGCTCCCCATATTCCTGCTGAACACTAGGTGTCGCTGTGCAGCAACGTATCTGAGGTACATACCTTCCTCCCCTCCTTCCTCTTCCCCATTTTCAAAGATGCTAGTACTTTGAGGAAGGGTTCGCTCCCCACACACAATTCCCACACAAATGTAAGTGTTAAAATTAAGCTAAACGTTTTGCTTTAATGCAAATATTTACTTCAACTCGGCTCCAAGATGTATGTCTGGGTTTTGCTTTTCGTCTGGTTTTTGCAAACTGAGGGGAATGACACCATTAATTTGATTATTCCTGGAATTGTCTCATTTTGCTACAAGGCCAGAAATGTGGGGGAACACTAATAATTATTATTTTTAAAGTTTGGCTCAGCTGGGCTTTCGACTCCCACACATCTGAGTGGGAGAAAGGACAAATTTCTAGGACACTGAGCTTCCCATGGCAACGGAAAACGGAAGTGACTTCAACCCAGTGTAGCGAAGGATGACTCATTTTTGTTCATGCTGTAAGCATAGTAATGTTAGTGCTGTGTTGGTAAATGAAAAAGAAAAAAGACGGACTCTGTGACAGAGAAGTCCCAAGGCATTTTGATACTTGAGTCAGAAAACCCAGATGTCCTCTCTGGTGATGGAAAAACAACGAACCGAATAATGGACAACTCATTTTCCCCAAACCTGCCACTCCAGTCAGATTGCTTGAAGCTGGACTCACGGAAAAGCCCGTTCTGTTCCATTATCTTCCATGTTTCATGCCAGATCTTTTGCCCTGAGAAGACAGAGTAACTGACCTTAATCCAAGCCAGCCCAAGACATTTTGCTGTCTGGGGTGAAGCAAAAAATGCATGTCCAGGACTGGCGGCTGAATCTTGCTTTGATATCCAAGGCCAGTCCTACCATTACTCAGGGTGAGACATCCACATCAAGCAATAAATTTGCCATGGGAGAGCTGCAACCTGATAGTTATTTAGAGCACAGTCCTCAGTCCTGAGGCCTTCTGACATGGAAGGGTTGTAGAGGATTCTTCAGAGTCCCAGCACTGAGTTCCCGTGACTGAAGTGCCAGATCTCTGAAAGCCAAGCCTGCCCCAAGCCTCCTTCGCAGCAGCATGGAAAGAACATGCCGGCTGCCTCCCTGAGAGCAACGATGTGCCTTGACAAAGCAGAGAAGGGGTTTATGGGGAGGAAGGGGAGGAAGTTGGGGCCATCCTTACCCCAGTTGCTATCAAATAGCTTCTTCCTCCCCCCCCCCCCCGCAGCACTTTATCTAGGCAGCCAAAGCAGACATCTAGATGCAACGCACAGCACGAGATGCAGCGGCGGTGGAGGTCACTGTCGGCACGCCTTGCTCTTGAGTCTGAACTGAGGGAAGGGTGCTGGACCTCACCACCCATTTATTAGTGTTGTATTTTCCCAGCTAGGAAGCAGGGAGCAGCAGCTGTGGTGCCAACAGACTGCGCCTGGCCTTGGGGACAGCACAGCCTGATTCGTAGCAGCAGAGGCAAGTAGGGAAGGACCTGCATAGAATGCTTGACCCAGCCCTGCCAAGACTGGCTCTGGAACGGTCTCTTCCCTGGTGCCTGAGAGAGTGGATGGGCTGTGGGAGCCAGGATGGATCCCCAGCTCCATCCTCCCAAACCTCACTGCTGCTTCCAGCTCCTGGCATCTGCTGCCTGAGATGGTTCTATCACTCCGTCTTATGGCAGGGCTGGCCCTTCTGCTGCCCCGTAGACCAGAGTTCAGGCATGGTCCAGTATTTCTTTTATCATCTCTCAGAAAACATGGCTTCACCTAGAAAGGCACATGTGCATCTGTCTTAACTATCCCAGCTTCCCGTTGCCGTTTCCTCAATATTGGGCAGGCAAAACACACACAGAGAGAGATTGCATTCACCGTGTGGTTTTGATCCTAACCACAAGTGCTATGAATAGGGTGGATTTCCTTAACGGTTCTGAGACTTGCCTAGCGTGTGACCTGCAAGGACAGGAGGTCACCCTGTCTTGTGTGCAAGGAGGTTAGCGGAGGAGCTCCTGCATGCCTGGACAAGCCACACATGTACACACAGACCAGAGTCCCTCCTTTTTATTCAGACTCCATGCCTGACTCTGCAGTGTTAATCACCTGGCTTTTAAACACTTGAGTCAAACTTCTTTCAGCCAGAGGGCCAAATTAAATTTTGGAAATATTCTCAGGACCATACTTCAGTGGTGGATAGAGCCAAAGGCAAACAGGACAGAGCAAAAATGTTCAAAAGTGCCAGCATATTTTAGATTTAAACCACTTATCAGCAGTAATTAAGACTTGGGAGAAAGCCAGAAAACTCCAGCAATTGAGATTTGGGAACAGGTATTCGTTCCTGTGAGGTAGGTTGGGCTGAGAGTCTGTGTCTGGCCCAAAGTCACCCAATGAGCTTCATGGCCAAGGGGAGACCAGAACGCAGATCTCCCAGGTCCACAGTTCTAACCACACTGGCTTTCAATTTGACCAGCCTAGCTGGCCCACCAGCAGGGTCCCACCCCTTGTCTTCATCCATCCCAGGGGCCAATTCATCCATCAGACCAAATTTGAGTCCTCACACAATGTAGGTCTTGGCTTCTTCTGAATTTATCATTTGAACCAGCCTTTCCCAATCTGGTGGCCTTTGGAGACATTTGAACTACAACTCCCATAATTCCCATCAGCAGGCCACTGACTGGGAATTCCGGATGCTGCAGTCCAAACATGTCTGGTAGGCACAACGTTGGAGAAGGGTGCTGTAAACCAACCATAATTCCCGAGTTCAGATGTCACAGGGAACTGTGGCTAGTATAAATGTGCTCCTTGGAGAGGTGCGCCTGGCGCCAAGTTTATACTCTTTTCGGTGCCAGGTTAAAACCTTTTTATTTAACTGTTATTTTAAAAACTAATTTAGAATTTTAATGTTTAACAGTTGCTTTTATTTAACTTATTTAATTGCATTTTTTGGTTAATTGCTATTTATTGTTGTTGTTTTAATAATAGTCAGCCATCCTGAGAGGCCATGCATAAGAGATGGCATGCAAAAGTTTTAAATAAATAAATGCATAAATAAACATAGAAGTGGATGCTTCTGAAGTTGTGGAAGTAAAGAGGAGAATGGGAGGAGATGCACAGATCTGAGGTTTGCTTAGCCTCAATCCATGCACTGAGCAAACCTTGTTTCTTGCTATATGGGGGCTCACGCACCTCTTCAGAGCAAGGCAAAAAAAAAAAAGTATTGACACAATCCACCATCTCAGGCTCCTAATCACAGCCATTGTCACTTTATCTGTATACTGTTT